GTCGTCGTCGTCGTCGTCGTCGTCGTAGTAGTATGTAGCCTTGGGAGGAAGATGGAAGGAGGGCATGAGGGCGGAACGACGGGTGAGGCCAGGGGAGGACAGGGAGGGGGGCGTGCGGGAGGCGCCGGGCAGGGGGATGGGGCAGAAGGGGTGAGTGGGGCTGGGGGGGGGGAGGAAGGAGAGGGGACGCCCTCCTGGGAGATCCGGAGGTGCCGCGTCTCATCGTTTCCCCGTGGAGCTGGAGCTTCTCCTTCCTCGTGGCCTTCGTGTGCCCCGCCTCCGACGCGCCGGCGCCCCGCCCCGCGCCGCTCCGCCCCACCTCGGCCTCCCCCCCCCCTGGGCTCGAGCGGCGGGGAGGCGGGAGGAAGAAAAATAGACAGAGAGAGAGAGAGAAAGAGAGAAAGCGCTCTGATCGAACTGGCCACTTTCCCCACGCACTTCCTCCATTCCTTTTCCTCATGCGTAGCTCCTCCCTGTCCAATCCGGAGGCGTGTCGGTAGGGCGGGCCGTGCGCCTCGCGTGAGATTTCTTCACCACTCACATTCCTTCAGCTCAGAATTTGCAACAGTTTCGCGGATGGAGGGCGGGCCGTTTTCAAAATGTGGATTTTGCCTCAGCGCCGCGCGCATTTGTTTTAACACATCGCGAGAGTTTCACGGATGGAAAGCGGGCGATTTTCAACATGTGGCTCTTGCATTAGCACCGCGCACATTCGTATTAAAAACTTGCAAGAGTTTAACGGATGGAGGGCGGTAGCCTTTTCAATCTGTCGCACTCGCCTTAGCATCGCGCACATTTATTTTAAACATTGCAAAAACTGTATGGATGGAGGGCGGGCCGTTTTCGAAGTGTGGCTCTCGCCTTAGCGCCGCGCACGTTCGTGTTAGAAAATGTAAAAGTTTTGCGGATGGAGGGCGGGCTGTTTTCAAAGCTTCACGGATGGAGAGCGGTACATTTTCAATGTGTGGCTCTCGCCTTAGCGCCACGCGCATGCGTCCAAAGAGTTCACATCCTTTTCACGGGTTCTCATGGCTAACGTCGCAGAATACTGTGTTTTGGCACGATGTAGGACTGTTCGGGTAAACAGTTATGTTTATTCGCGGTGGTGAAGTCCCAGGAATAGCGTTTTGGTGCGATTCAAGATCGCTGGGACTTACAGTAACCTAATTCGCGGCGTTGAAGTTCCACGAACGGTGTTGGCACGGGTCAGGACTTTCAGACATTTCTCTTCCAACGGGGCGCTTCCTTCAGTGAAGATGTACCCTTGTAGGGACATATTAAGAGGGAACCTGTAGGGATGATTCATTGCAGCGTCGCGGATGAGTCTTGGGCTTGCACTGTTCGACCTCCTCCCCCGCCTCTTCCCCCTCGGTGCAGTCGCTTCTCCTCCTCCCCTTCCTCCCTGGCTGTATCATTCCTGCCACCCCGCTCCCCTCCTCCTCCTCCTCCTCCTCCTCCTCCTCCTCCTCCTCCTCCTCCTCCTCCTCCTCCTCCTCCTCCTCCTCCTCCCTCCTCCCCATGCCCCCTGTGCTCGCAGCCCTGCCTCCGCGCACTGGTGGCTCGGGCGGCAGGGTGGGGCGCTGCAGAGAGAGAGAGAGAGACCTCCTCCTCCTCCTCCTCCTCCTCCTCCTCCTCCTCCTCCTCCTCCTCCTATGCTCCTGCGCCTCGTTTCTCGTCGTCCCCTCCTCCTCCTCCTCCACCCACCCCCCCCGCCCCTCCTCCCTCCTCCTTCTCCTCCTCCTCCCTCCTCCTCCTCCTCCTCCTCCTCCTCCTCCTCCTCCTCCTCGAGAGAGAGAGAGAGAGAGAGAGAGAGAGTGCCGTGCGCCTCGTCTCATCGGCTCCCGTTTCCTTCCCGTTGCTTGCTGGCGGAGGGCCTCTGGGCCACCGCGCGGCCGTCCATCCTCGCGCGCTGCTTCCTGCCTGTGATCTCGGCTGCGCCGCCTGCGCGCCCCGCCTCGCCGGAACTCGGCCCACGCAGCGGCCGTTCCGCCGCGCGGTGCCCTCCCGCGCAGCCGGCAGGGCTGGCCCTTCGGGAGAGCCTGGGGCAACGGCGGTCGTGCTGCGCACACGCTGGCCGGCCGCCTCGCGGATGTCTGCCGCCGGGTGCCGCAGACAACGGCAGCGCTGCGGCGCTGGACGGGGCGGCGCGCTGTGCCCGCGGTCGGGTGCGCTGAGGAGGGGCGCCTCGCGCAAGGTGCCGATGCGGCGAATGCGTCGGCCTGCGTCTCGATCTTCTTGTCCACGTCGCCCGGCCCCCGCCCTTTGCACCAGCGTCGCCTTTCCGTGGAGGTCGAGCCCAACATCCCTCCGCGGGATCCACCTGGCTCTCGGGCGGCCGCCTGCGAAGGCCTTTGAGCTGGGCCACCAGACCCCAAGGCAGTGCGGGCCTCGTTGCCCCTCTGCAGCTGGAGGAGGAGGGGCTCCGCACTGGCCCACGTGGGAGCAAAGTATGCAGCGGCGCGAAGCAGTGCAGCCGTTCCAGCGCCCTGAACGACACAGTCAGGCTCGGACGCACCACTGGACACTTGACCCCCCAAACACCAGAAGGAGGCACTTGCAGTGCGCCCCGCAGAAGCCGTCTTCCTAGGCGCGACCTCTGGCAATCTGGCCGTCCGCCCTTGGAATCGACCACTGGGATTTCTTGTGCAGATTGTGTCAGCACTAAGCAGGGTCCACGCGATAGGGCGAGGTGCGGATCTTCCTCGTCGCACAGGCCCCCCCAGAGCGACCACGCCGGCACTGCCGCAAGCCGTCGAGAGCCAAGGTAGAGTAAGGCCAACAACGACAACCGCGACCCGAACCATCTGCGTCGAATCGGGCATTTTGCCGGCCGATCTACGTGCAACGTCTCGGCGCCAGCAAATCGGGGACCGAGGCCAATTGCTTCCCAAAGTGGTCATCCTTGGGCCAAGGTGCCCGCTCGAATGAACGATTGACGAACACGCTGGCGCTATGATCCGGCTTCGTTACCGCTGCTGCCAAACCGACCCCGCCAACGCCACCCGACGCGATTTCATCGGCTACTACGCCGATGGCAGCTATGCCAGCGCGGCCACCGCGCGCAACAGCCCTCGCACCTCGAACGGCACCTCACGCTCCGTCTGGAAGCAGCCCGGTGACGGCGACCCCTGCGCCCCTTCACCACCCCCTGCGGCCCCTGTGGCAGGACATTCTGCCCCGCCTGCGAGCAGCCCTCTGAGGGAGAGGGCACGCAGCCCTTCGGCCCCCCCGTGAGGCCCGTTGCCCCATGCGGGCGTCAACGAGTGCGACGCCACGTGTCATTGGTCACGGTCATTCCTCCTCCTCTTTCTCTCCCTTGGCCTCCAGATCTGCGCCATAGTATTCGTTCGCCTGCTCCTTTTGCTCGCGTCCCTCCTCCTTCTTCCTCTCCTGTTTCTTCACGCCCTTCTGCTCGTCGTCATCATCGTCCTCCTGCTCCAGCTTCTCAAGTTCCTCCTCCTTCTGCATCATCCCGTTTGCCTCCTTTTCCTCCTCTGCCTCCTCCTCTTCCGCCTCGCCCACGCAGGTACAGTTGGGTGAGGTCCGAATGGCTCCGGAAGAAGATTCCGTTGAGAAGCTGTTTGGGTACCATGAGGTCAACCGAGGGGGGTACCAGTGAGCTGCTCTCTTATGCAGTGCGGGAGAGTATGGGCGCATGCGTACCCGATGCGCTCTTTCAGTCGCTTGTCTTCTTCCTTCGCATGCCCATGCGAGTAATTATGTGAGCAGCACCTCGAAGACGGCGGCCTCCTTCTTCTCTTCGTCCTCCTTGCTCTGCTCCCTCCTCCCTGTTCCTTCGGCTCGTCCAGCCCCTCCTGGTCCTCCTTTTGGTTATCGTCCCCCTTTCTTGTCCCCCTCCTTATCCTCCTGCTCCTCCCTTCTCGCGCTTATGGTCCTTGTCTTCATCCTCCTCGTTTTTCTTCTCCTCACCGTCCTTGCCTTCCTCCATTTCCTCATTTTCCTCCTTTGCCCCCTCCCGTGGTGGTTTGTTTCAGCGGTATGGGCTTTGGCGGGCATTTGGGCATCCACGGGCATTTTCATGAGCAGGGGAGGAGGAGGAGGAGGAGGAGGAGGAGGAGGAGAAGGAGGAGGAGGAGGAGGAGGAGGAGGAGGAATGAGCATGAGAGAAGGAGGAGAGGAGGAGGAGACGAGGAGGACGAGGAGGAGGAGGAGGTGGAGGAGGAAGAGGAAAAGGAGTTGAGAGGAGGAGGAGGAGGAGGAGGAGGAGGAGGAGGAGGAGGGAGGAGGAGGAGGAGGAGGAGGAGGATGGGGGAGGAGGAGGGGGGAGGAGGAGGAGGACGAGGAGGAGGAGGAGGACGAGGAGGAGGAGGAGGAAGAGGAGGAGAAGGTATAGAGGGAAGCGGAGGATGATGATGATGATGATGATGATGATGAGGAGGAGGAGGATGAGGAGGAGGAGAATGAGGATGAGGAGGGCCGGTGGCTTTCAAAGTGGGGCTCTCGCCTTAGCGCCGCCTGCATGCGTCCTAAAAGCTTCAACGGCTGCGAGGATAGAGGCTGGCTCGTTTACAACATGTGGCTCTCGCTTCGGGCATCCTCGCGCTCTATGATCCAAAGATACTTGTTGTGCAACAGCGGCACTGATGGAGGGCGGCTCCTTTTTCACAAGCAGCCCTCGCTTTGGACCTCCCCAGATCTGATGACCAGGAGGTATACGGATGGAGGGAGACACTTTTCAGAACCGACCTATCGCTGGGCATACCCTTGAGCTTAAACATCATGTCTCCGTACGTGTCGTTTGGATAGAAGGAGGGAAGGAGGAGGAGGAGGAGGAGGAGGAGGAGGAGGAGGAGGAGGAGGAGGAGGAGGGAGGAGGAGGAAGAGGAGGAGGAGGAGGAGGAGAAGGAGGAGGAGTAGGAGGAGGAGGAGGAGGAGGAGTGGATCCTTGACAAAGCGGCTCTCGCCCGAGTGACGGGCCCGCCGGGCGCTCGCCATTCCAAGGAGGCGCCTCCCGCAGCAGCAAGGAAGACCTGTAGCGATTCATGAAGGCGGGACCTGGGGCGGGAGGGTGTACTGCAGCATCACTGATGCTTCCTGGGTTTCCTCTGGTGCTCCCCTTCCATCTCTGTACCTGTTGCGAGCTGCTGAGGCGAAGCTGCGCGACGCCAGGGCCAGGGCTATTTTAGACCCACTGGCCTTCAGCCGCATAGCTGTTGCTGGCTTTTGGGGCGAATTCGCGGGGCGCCAATGCGAGAGCCCCATCGAGAAAAAGACCCGCCCTCCATCCGTGTGACTGTTGGAGCTCATAAGTAGTTAGGAAAGTCTCAAGCGAAACGCCTGGTGGTTCGGTGGTTCGACCGGGACAAAATCTGTAAGGAAGGGGATGGAGGAGGAGGAGGAGGAGGAGGAGGAGGAGGAGGAGGAGGACGAGGAGGACGAGGAAGAAGAGGACATTCTTGACGACAAGGTGGGGGGTGGAGGGGAGGATGAAAGGGGGTCGTCAAGCAGGTTCGAGAGGCATTCGCCGTGGACGCTTCTTGCAGAGCGGGAAATGGCCAAGCCCAGACAGCAAGAGTGACTGAGCACATGCTACATGGCGAGAGGGGGTGATCAGGTGTCTATTTTGCTACGGCTCGTTCCGGGCTCGCTGTGTGCTGGTGGGGCTTTCCAGGGGTTAATTCGTGACCTGGATGCACGCGAAGTGGTCGGTAGCAGTCGAGGTGCTGTCGTGCTCTGAATCACGCTCTGCCTGCTGATACCATGAGGGTTGAACTGTTTCTGGTCGCAGACAGAGATGGATGTGCAAGCAGTGCTGTACGAATGCAGCATTGGGGGCGCCCGTTGGTTGAATATCATAGCTGGTCAGATCTGCTAGACATGGGTCTTTCGCTGTCGGGCACGAGTTGAAGCCACTCAGAGGGGGATGAGGAGGAAGGGGGATAAGGATGAACTTAAGCCCTCTGCTACACTGTGACGAGTGGTGTTTCCATGGATGGTGCTTCGTCGTCACTCCATATTGGAAGTTGGCTGCGTGAAAGCTGTCTTGCCCCCAAGACGGCCTCAAGACGGCCCAAGAGGGCTCTTATATGCTCCCAATAGAGCCCCAAGAGGGCACCAAGAGGCTTCCGTAGAGGCCCCAGGAGGCCCGCAAGAGAGCCCCAAGACGGCCAAAGGCTTTCCAGACGTTCCGAGATGGCCCAGAAGTTCCGCAGGGCGGCCCACGAGAGCCCCAACACGGTCCAAAGGGGCCCCACAAGGACCCCCACGAAGGGCCGGAGACGCCAAATAACAGAGGCTCCCGAGACTCCGAAGAGCGAGCGATGATGTAAACAGGTCTGAACACCAAGGCTCCCAAGGGCGAGCGGTGACGTAAAAGACTCTTCACACCAAGGCTCCCAAGAGCGAACGGTGACGTAAGAAGCTCTTGACGCCAAGGCTCCCGAGAGCGAAGGATGACGTGAAACATCTCGTCACACCAAGGCCTCCAAGAGCGAACGGTGACGTGAAACAGCTCTTAACGCCCAGGCTCTCAAGAGCGAGCGATGCCATGCGCCCTCTCGGGAGACTTCCTGAACCGCTCCTTCCGTTGCCGTGCGGGCCCGGGCGGCGGAAAGAGCGAGGTGCGAGTGACGACGTTTTGGTGGGGCGAAGCCCGCCCGGGAGGAGCTCCAGGGGGAGGGGCGAAGCGCGGACACGCCAGCCTCACGCGCCCTCCCCCGAGACGGCCCAAGAGGTGCCCAAGACGGCCTCCGATACCCCCAAGACGGCCCCAGCGAGGTCTTCGACGGCTCCTAGACGGCCCAAGAGCGCTCTAAGAGAGACCAGGCCCGTCCAAGAGCGTTACAAGATGGCCTACGATTGCTTTAAAACGGTCCAGGAGGGCTCCAATATGGACCCAGAGGCCCTTAAGAGGACACCCGAGAGGGCCTTAGGAGACCTAAATTAGTGAGTTTCCTTATACAGAAAACTGTTTAGGGTTCTCGCCTTTTCGGGCTTCTGACGGCTCAGGACGGCCCAAGAGGTCCCAAAGATCGTCCCGAGACGGCCCCAGAAGTCTCCAGAACGGCCCCAATACGGCTCCAGCGGGCCCCCAGACGGCCCTAGAGGGCCCCAAGACGGCCCCGAGAGACTCCCAAGAGAGCCAAGTGGGCCCCAAGAGGCTCCCAAAAAGCCCCCAAGAGGCCCCAAGGAAAGCCCCAAGCCGGCCAAAGCCCTCAAAGACGCCCCAAGAATGCCCAAAAGGGCACCAGGACAGCCCACGAGGTTCCAGAAGGGCCCCAACAGGACCCCCAAGAAGCCCGGACACGCCAAAAATAACAGAGGCTCCGAAGAGTTCACATTGACGTGACAAGCTCGTAACAACAGGGCTCCCAAGAGCGAGCGGTAACGTAAACAATTATTAACACCAAGGCTCCCAAGGAGCGAGCGGTGACGTAACAAGTTTTGAACACCAAGGCTCTCCAGAGCCCAACGGGATAAGCTTTTATAATCGAGGCTCCCAAGAGTGAACAGTGACATTAAAAGCACTGAACACCAAGGCTCTCAAGAGCGAGTGGTGACGTAACGAGCTCTGAACACCAAGGCTCCCAATAGCCCATAGTGACGTGACAAGCTCTTCGCACCAAGGCTCCGACGAGCAAATGGTGACGTGAAAAGCTCTGAGCGCCAGGCTCCCAAGAGCGAGCCGCGACGTGACAAGCTCTTCACACCAAGGCTCCCAAGAGGGAACGGTATCGCAATGAGCTCTAGGCACAGAGACTCCCAACAGCGAGAGGTGATGCAACGAGCTCTTGGCACCAAGGCCTCCAAGAGTGAGCGGTGCCATGAGCCATCCCGGGCAAGTCTCTGAGCTCTTTCCGTTCCCGTGCGAGTGATGACGTACGAGGGGTAGGAGGAGGAGAGAGCAGAGAGGAGAGAGGAGGAGGGAGTAGAGAGAAGGAGGAGGAGGAGGAGGAGGAGGAGGAGGAGGAGGAGGAGGAGGAGGAGGAGGGTGACAGAAAGAGCGAGGCACGAGTGGTGACTTCCTGGCGGGGCGAAGCCCCCTCGGGAGGGTGTCCCGGGGGGAGGGGCGAGGCGCGACCGGGCGGGCGTAACACGCGCGCCCTCCCCAAGACGGCCTCCTTCCCCCCCTCCCCCTCCTCCTCCTCTCCTCCTCCTCCTCCTCCTCCTCCTCCTCCTCCTCCTTGTCCTCCTCCTCCTCGGGTCGCCTGCGCTCGCGGGGGAAACCGTGCAAGGATAGGAGGCGCCCAAGACGGCTTTTGATACCTCCAAGACGGCCCTAGAGAGGCCCTCGACGGCTCCTAGACGGCCCAAGAGCGCTCCAAGAGAGACCCGGCCCGCCCAGGACCTTTCCAAGGTGGCCTACGATGGCCTCAAGACTGTCCAAAAGGACTCCAACACGGCCCAAGAGGCCTTCAAGAGGATCTCCCACAGGGTTTCAGGAGGCCCAAAATATCAAGGTTATGCTTTTGGCGGTTTTTAAGGCTCTCGCCTTTTCGGGTTTCCGGCGCCCCAAGACGGCCCAAGAGGCCCCAAAGATCGCCCCAAGACGGCCGAAGAGGCACCCGAGAGGGCCCCAAGATGGCTTCGGAGAGCCCCAACACGGCCCAAGAGGGCCTCCTCCTCCTCCTCCTCATCCTCCTCCTCCTCCGCCTCCTCCTCATCCTCCTTCTCTTCCTCCTCCTCTTCTTCCTCCTCCTCCTCCTCCTCCTCCTCCTCCTCCTCCTCCTGCGATGGGCTCAAGACTGTCCGAGAGGGCCCCAAGACGGCCTAAGAGGCCGTCAAAGACCTCCCAGAGGCCACTGGAGGCCAAAAACATTGATTGTTTGTTGTCGTTTGAAGATTTTTGGGGTCCTCGCCTTTTCGGGCCCCCGACGGTCCAAGACGGCCCGGCAGGCCCCAAATATCGCCCCAAAACGGCCCAAGAGGCTCCGAGAGGGCCCCAAGACGGCCCCAGAGAGCCCCAACTGGGCCCCAGAGGGTCCCAAGAGGGGCCCAGAGGGACCCCGTATGATCCCAAGAGAGCGCCCAGAGGGCCATGGGAGGCAGAGGCAGCCACGAGGGCCAAAGAGGGGCCCGGGAGGGCCCGCATGCGGCCCAAGCCCCCGAAGACGGTCCCAGAAGCTTCCGAGACGGCCCAGAGGATCCCCCAGACGGCCAGAGGAGGTCCACAACATTGGTTTCCACACGCACACACATTGATGTAGGTAGGTAGGTAGGTAGGTAGGTAGGTAGGTAGGTAGGTAGGTAGGTAGGTAGGTAGGTAGGTAGGTAGGTAGGTAGGTCGGTAGGTAGGTAGGTAGGTAGGTAGGTAGGTAGGTAGGTAGGTAGGTAGGTAGGTAGGTAGGTAGGTAGGTAGGTAGGTAGGTAGGTAGGTATATATATACACATGTATGTATGTATGTATGTATGTATGTATGCATGTATGCATGTATGAATGTGTGTGTATGTATGTATGCATACATGTATGTGTACATGTAGGTATGTATGTATGCATGCATGTATGTATGTGTGTATACATGTATGCATGTATGCATGTATGCATGCAGGCATGCGTGTATGCGTATATGCATGTATGCATGTGTGCATGCATGTATGCATGTGTGCATCTTTGCATGTATGCACGTATGCATGCATGCATGCATGCATGTCTGCATGTCTGCATGCCTGCATCTATGCACGCATGCATGAATGCATGTCTGCATGCATGTATGCATGCATGTCTGCATGCATGCATGCATGAATGTATGCATGGATACATGTATGCATGTCAGAATGTATGCATGTATGCATGCATACATGTATGCATGTCTGTAGATATGTATGTACGCATGTATGTATGTAATAGTGTACGTGTGTATGGGTGCATATTTATGCATGTATGTGTCTACGATTGTAGTTGTGGGCGTCTGCAGTCATGTATGATATGCAGTTATGTATGTATGTCTATACATCTGTATGTGTATACACGCTTACATCGGCGTTACAACAGTTTCGTTATACATGGATATTCGATCATCTGGCGTAAGCAAGGGCAAATCCCGCCCGGTGGGATTTCTGAAGCCGTGTGATTTTACGCCGGGATTTTGAATTACCCCGTTTTTTATTTATATTAATATTATAAGGGATGACATCACACTCATGATCATCCCGCAATTTTGATCCGACCGCCCTTGACTCAGTCCGCTAGGAGTCTAGGGGGGACGGGGGGGCCAGCTCGGCGCGGTCGAGACAGTGGCTAAACTCTGCCCGCCCGCTCACGCGGAAGTAAGACACGAAGCCCATGGTATCTTCAAGCTTTCATGAAACGTGACGAACTTTTGTACCAGCGTAGCCGCATTTCAGACACCGCGCGGCGAGCATCGCAGGGTTGCGTGCGATGAGATGGATGGGGTGAGTGATGATGCGTCGCCGTCGTGGATCCCTCAGCGGCATTTCAGACACCGCGCGGCGAGCATCGCAGGGTTGCGTGCGATGAGATGAATGGGGTGAATGATGATGCGTCGCCGTCGTGGATCCCTCATCGGCGTTACAAAGATTTTGTCATGCGTTGAGGTTCGATCATCTGGCGTAATCAAGGGCAAATCCCGCCCGGTGGGATTTCTGAAGCCGTGTGATTTTACGCCGGGATTTTAAATTACCCCGGTATACGTCTGTACTATTGTAATAAGGGATGAAATCACACTTTTTAAAATCCCGGATCTTTGATCCGACCGCTCTTGGCTCAGTCCGCTAGGATTCTAGGGGGAAAGGGTGGGCCAGCTCGGCGCGGTCGGGACAGTGGCCAAACTCTGCCCTCCCGCTCATGCGGAAGTAAGACACGAAACCCATGCCATCTTCAAGCTCTCATGCGACGTGACGAACTTTTGTAACGACGTAGCGGCATTTCAGACGCCGCGCGGCGAGCATCGCAGGGTTACGTGCGATGAGATGGACGGGGTGCATGATGATGCGTCGCTGTCGTGGAACCCTCAGCGGCATTTCAGACAACACGGGGCGAGCATCGCAGGGTTGCGTGCGATGAGATGGATGGGCTGAATGATGATGCGTCGCTGTCGTGGATCTCTCAGCGGCATTTCAGACACCGCGCGGCGAGCTTTGCATGGTTGCGTGCGATGAGATGGATGGGGTGAATGATGATGCGTCGCCGTCGTGAATCCTCATCGGCGTTACAGAAAGTTTCGTCATGCATTGAGATTCGATCATCTGGCGCAAGCAAGGGCAAATCCCGCCCGGTGGGATTTCTGAAACCGTGTGATTTTACGCCTGGATTTTAAATTACCCCGTTTTAAATTTATAATAGTTTTAAAAAAGAATGAAATTCCATTTTTGAGAACCCCGGATCTTTGACCCGACCGCTCTTGGCTCAGTCCGCTAGGATTCTAGGGTTAGGGGGGAAGGGGGGGCAGCTCGGCGTGGTCGGGACAGTGGCCAAACTTTGCCCGCCCGCGCACGCGGAAGTAAGACACGAAACCCATGCCATCTTCAAGCTCTCATGAAACGTGACGACCTTTTGTAACGGCATTGTATGTATGTGTGTATGTACGTATTTCTGTACGTATGTATGTACGTATGTATACATGCATGCATGTATGCATGTATGTCTGTGTGTACGCATGTATGTATGTTTGTTGGTGTATGTATGTACGCCTGCATGTAGGTAGGTAGGTATCGAGGTATGCATGCATTCATGTATGTATGTATGTACATCGGTAACTATACTTGTCTGTTTGCGTGCTTGTTTGTACGCATGCATGCATATCGGTATGTTGGCATGTCTGTACGTATGCATGCATGTATGTATGTATGTATGGATGTTTCGATTGATGTATGCATGCATGCATTCATGTATGTTTTGGTGCATGATGCACGCATGATTGTATTTATGTATACGTGTATGCAAATAAGTATGTATGTATGCATGTGTGTATGTTTGTGTGCATGTGTGCTGTTTGTATGTATGTAGTATGTATACATGTATGTATGTAGGTAGGTAGGCATCTGGGTATGTATGTATGCATGTGCGCATTCATGTGTGTATGTAGGTGTGTGTATGTATGTATGTATATATGTATACGTGCATGTATGAATGTATATATGTATGTACGTATACATGTATGCATGCATGTGTGTGCATGCATGTATGCATGTATGTGTGTATGCATGCGTGCATGCATGTATTGTATTCTATAGGTGTATATTATATATATGTATATATGGGTATATATATATATATGTCTATATATATATGGGGCACACATGTATGTATGCATGTCTATATATCTATGCATATATATATATATATACATAGATGAGTTCAACTGTTTTTGGGTGTTCGCCTTTTCGGGTCGATATCGGCCGAAGATGGCTCCGAGGGCCCCCGCGCAACTGCCTCAAGAAGGCCGAGGGGGCGGGCCCCAAGACGGTCCAAGAGGCCCCCAGGAGGCACGAGCCAAACCCCAAGAGGCTTGGGAGCTGCGGCTCCAGGCCCCTGAAAGGATCCTCAGGGCTGAGGACTGACGCTGAAGGGATTAGGCCAAGGACCCAAGGGCACTCCAACTCGTGCCTCAGGGCACGGTGGCAGATATTCTGGGAGCGGAGGCTGGGAGTGTGTCCGAGCGAGTAGTCGTACCGTTCGCAGCAGCCCAGCAAGGATCTGATGCCAGCAGGTGCGAGCGTGCATATCAGGATTCAGACGCTTGTGTGCAGTTTTTTCAGCAGGTGTTGCTGCGAATCGGTGCTCAGCAGTGTGAGCGCTGCGTGTTGGCGATGATCATGTAGGCGTTGGTGCTTGGCAGTGGCCAACAAGTAGTATAGTGATGGCATGGCAGGATGGACAGCTACATGTGCCGAGCGGGAGTGCCAGGCAGTTGCCATACTACTGGGGCTGCTTTTCTGGCGCCACGAAAGGGCGTTGCCCCCTGTGCCGAAGCCGGAGGGAAGGGGAGGGGCGGTTGAGGGAAAACATAAAGCAACACTCCCCCCCTCCCCCCGCAATTCAAAGTTGGCACGTATACGCATCACTGCTCCGACACTCAAACTCGGGAGATCCGAGCCCAACACTGCATTCGTTGGGAGGGGGGGCGAGTTCACACCATATGTTGTGCGCGAGTGTTGCTGAATTTTTCCGACACCTGGATGTCTGCTGTCCTCCCTGATTGTTGTCATGTGTTGTCTTTGCTCAGTTGGTGCGCTCGGTGACGGCGACGTTTCGTGTGACGTTTCGGCCTTGCCCGGCGGACTCCAGTGTCCCGCCGTTGAGCCAATCGGGCGGTGATTATGGCGACAAGAGGAACCTCTGCACTGCCTGGCAGCTTCGCTGGTGCAGGTTCACAGGCGATACCGAATGGGCGCGCTATTTGGTTGTGAATCGATGTTCCTCCAGGCATGTCGGGCGCTCCAGACATGTCCCCGCCGATCGAGGGATCGAACTGCTGGCCTCTCTTCCTCGGCGGGAGGCGGCGTAAGGCCGGCAGAGGCAGAAGCTCCCCCTCAAGCCGACCAGACGTCAGAGGTATCTTTCGCCGGAGGGACCTTTGGTGCGGGCCCAGTTGGTCTAGGCCTCCCAGGTGGGATCGGAGCAGATGGGGTCGGAGGATCGCGCCGCATCGCCGATGCATCGCCGATGCGGCTCGATGCGGAGCCCGATTTTCTTCACGCGGACGTCGCCGATGCATCGCCAGTGCATCGCCGATGCATCGGCGATGCATCGCCCATGTATCGCCGATTCGGCGCGATCCTCCGACCCCATCTATTCCGACCCCATCTAGGAAGCCTCTAGTTGGGTCCCCTGATCGCCCGAACGCGATGCGGCAGTAGTGTCTCGTGCGCTGGTGTTCGGTCCTTGGGCCCCCTTCGCGCCCCTCAGAGTCGCGCACCAGAGGTCACTCTCGCCCAGGGTCGCTCCTGCGTGCAGCCGAGCGAGGCGATTCACACTCTGTTTTGTCGGAGGGCACCAACTATACACCAACACCGATCCTGGCCCAGGATCGGTGTTGGTGTATAGTTGGTGCCTTCCTATCTTGGACGCCGGAATCTTGGAGCCGGGCGGGCGACAGGAAGCTTTCAGTAGGAGCCCCCCGGCCGGCCGACCCGCGCTCGTGGCCGCCGCGGGGAGGCGGGATCGACGGCACGCGAGGCCGTGAGAGCGACCCTATGCCGGAGTGACCTCTGGTGCGGGCCCACTGGTGCGCCCCCGATCGCGGGTCGGGCGAAAGGGGAGGATTGGGAAAGGGGGGGTTACGAAATTTGCCGCATGCAGCTGGTTTGGGCCTCACCGAGGGGCCCATTTCTCGATACATAGCCGCCTCCTGGCGCCGGGAGGCGCCGGGAAAATCAGCTCCGTGAGCTGATTCTCAAACCCCCCCTTTGCTATCCCCCCCTTTCGCCCGACCCGACGATCGCGGAACGGGAAGCGGCAGCAGCGGCTTGCGCGCCCGGGCTTGGCCACCCCGCGTCCTGCTGTGCAGTCGCGCCCCACAGGCCATTCCTGCCCAGGGGTCGCTCTTGCAGTCGGGGCCCTGAGGGAGGAACTCTTTTCGCTGGGGAGGGGCTCGGTGTTCCCTGATTGTTGCAGAGTTTGCCTCGGGTTTTCCAGAGGTTTTCCATCGGAAGTCGAGGTTGAACTTACGGGAAAAAGGGGCCTCGTTCCTTATTTAGGGTTCCTCAGGTCAACGCCTCGACTGTACGTGTAGCCGAATCGGAGAGGAGCGTGCAACTCCGCCGTCGAGAGCCTGCCGCCGATCTGTCGGCGATCTGTGTGTTCCGTCGACTCCAGCTCGATGCTCTCCTTCGCTGGCGCCCCCCCTGTCGTTCGCCCTCGTGTCCAGACGTCTGGACGTCCTGGCAGCGCGCCGCCTGGAGATCGCGCTCGTCGGCCTCCGGCTCGCAGGGCCCCCGCCGCCGTTCCCCGCCGCCGTTCCCCGCTGCGCCAGCACGCAGGCAGTGATTCCCGGTTTCCTCCTCTTCCTATCCTCCTCCCCCTCGTCGCCGTCCTGCTCCTCCTACCTTCCCTGCCTTCGTCTGGCCGATTCTGATGCCTCGGTGTGCGGCCGTTGGGCCGTCGCCACGCTCCGACCGAGCTGCGGATGCCCTCGACGAGCTCAGCGGAAGGCACAGCCCGTGTGCCAATGGAGGCTTTGGCGAACAAGGGAGAGGGCATGAGAGAGCGCGACCGTACCCATACGGCTTTCAACCTCCAACGTTGCGGCTGAAACCTCCAGATCGAAGGACATGAGCCCCCAGGTTGGAGGTTTAAACCTCAAGTTTGTGGGTCCAGGGGCCCTGTGGGGTCGTTCTCAGTTCACCCTTCCTCGCTCCCCTCTTCCTTCCTCTGGCTAGCTGGGGTATCTCGTTGGGCGGCGCCGTTGGGCTTCCACCCTGACATTTAGACGTGCCCACAGGGTCCTTCGGTGAGCCCAGCGAGGAGCATCACCCTTGGGGTCAATGGAAGCTTTTTCCAGCGAGGGCGAGGAGCTCGATTTCACCCAGACGGCACAACACCTCCAGAATCGAACTCTAGGCTTCCCGACTGGAAGGCGATGCCTTCCACTCTGGAGGCCGAAACCGCAGTGCAGGGGCCTGCGAGGGGGAGCTTGGAGGGAGGGTTTATTCCGACGTCGCTGATGAGTCTTGGGTTTGGCACTGGTCTTCCTCCTCCTCCTCCTCCTCCTCCTCCTGCCGCTCCTTTGGTGGGAGGGTTGTGCGCAGGCCGACTTCCTTCACGAGTCTCTGAAGGATACCTTCGGGCTCGTGTGCGGCCCAGCCGTGGTGCGCCGCCGAGCAGACCCGGCCAACCTCTGCGGAGCTTGCTTTCCTGATCTCGGTAGTTCAGAGCTTGGACGTGGGTGTTCCGACAGAGCTTGACATTGAATACGGTCCCGTCGGGGCCCTCCCGGCGACGGAAGAAGCTTTGCATCGAGAGTTGGGGGACCGCTTCGCATACGCCCCCCGCACCCCCCCGGCCTTCATATTCAGCAGTTGGTCCCGGAGATGACCGGCCGGAAACAGTTGGAACCCAAGATCTCGATCGCAATGCGTTCCAATATTAATCAGCGAGCGAAGAACGGTATAAAATCAACTTTTTCGCTGTCGGGGGCGCCTGTCCCTGGGCGGCTGGAAAGTTGACACCCCTACGGTGCCACCGTAAGGGTATCAACTTTCCAGCCGCCCAGGGACAGGCGCCCCCGACAGCGAAAAAGTTTATGTTATACCACTCTTCGCCCGCTGAATTAAGGGGAAAAGGGATTTCCATTCTTTGCCGTCGGAGCGTTGCTGGTGCACAGTTCTTCCTTCAACCGTCGCCGGCCTTCTGCGAGCGGGCTTTCCGCGAACGGCGGCCCGAGACACGAGGGCGTGGCGGGGGTCCTCGACGTCTGGGCGCGAGGGCGTCGGCACCCGCCGGGCGCGCGACTCCCGCGCAGTCCTCGAGGGAGGTCCGCCCATGCCGAGGTCCCCACGGCGAGGGCCTCGGCAGCCCCCCGGTGCGCGCTCCCCGCAGGGCCCTCGAGGGCTTGCGCCCCACGTGGTGAGGCCATGTCGGGAGCCCTCGCCCTCGGGTCCCTGACGCTCCCCACACGTGACCCGCCCGTCAATCGTGCCCGAGGGCTTCTCGCCCACGATTGAGGCCCTGGTTGCGGCCATCTCGGGGCCCTCGCGGTGAGGGCCCGAACATCCGGCATGCGCGACTCAAGCAGAGGCCCAGGTGTTTTCGTCGTTCGTGTCGAGGCCCCCCCGGGTGAGGGCCCCGAGCATCCTCCAGCCACGATGCCCACAGAGCCCTCGAGGAGTCCTCGCCCACGCCGAAGCCCCTCCGGCCTCGCGTTCGATGTTATCTATACAATCGCCTCGCTCATTCCGCCGGCCCTGGAGCCCTCTCCAGGGCCTCTTGGGGGCCTCTTTAGGGACCTCTTAGGAGCCGTTCCGTCATTCGGAGCCCTGCGGAGCCGTTCCGTCATTCGGTTCACGGGCCTGCCTTGGAGTCATCTCGGGGTTGATCGATGGTGGAGGCTCGAGGGCCAGTCGACCGGAGAAACCCGCGGGGAGCGCTGTCTCGCATAGTGCCGGTCACAACTTTTTAATCCAGAGGGTGGTAGGAGTCTCCAGGGGCTCCTCGGCGGCGTCTTGGGGGCCCCTGGGGCCTCTCGGGGGGCTCCCGGGGGCCTCTTGGGGCGGGAGGGGAGGCGCCGAAGCCCCTCCGGCTTCGCGTGTGATGTCGTTCTGCCGAGTGCCCGTGGGGCCTTCGGAGTGCAGCCTGCGCGGCAGCCCATGGGGGGCCACGGCGCGTGCGGCTCGCGGCCGGGCCAGCGGCTGCTGCAACCGGGGCCCCCTCCGCAGAAGCTGCCGCCCATCCTCGAGGCAGGACCGCCAGGTCGAAGAAGCCCTCCGGGCTGAGGAGGCAGAGAGGTTTGAGCCACCACGCGAGGTCGAGCCGTCCTGTGCTGTTTTCGGCTCTATCCTCTCCGCTGGCGTGCGCCCGGCGGCAGAGACGCCTGCGGGCTTGGCGGTGGGACAGGATGGCGACGCCAGCGCGGACAGGACAACCGTGTCGAGCGGCCCCACTGAAGAGTGGCTGCTCGACGGAGAGCTGGCCCCCCAGACCCCCGACGTCATGATTTTTTCACGACGTCGACCCCCCGAGGTCTCGACCCATTCCCCGGGGCCGGCTTTTCGTCCTGAGTCGTTTTTTGACGCTCCCGAGGGCCGGTAAAGGCCCCCAAAGGCCAAAAAGAATGAAAAACCTCCCGTCGTGATTGTTTCATAGCTCGAGGGGGTCTGGGCCCGGATGTGGCCTCCCCATCCCACTCCTCTCGAGGTCGAGGAGGGCGACGAGACGCTGGGAGCAGAGCAGCAGGGAGCACCTCCCTCGGAGGGGGGAGAAGGCAGGTGGGGCCCATGGGCGCCCTGCGCCCCGTGCATCCCCTCTGCTCCCTTCTCTCGGGGGGAGGAGGAGGAGGAGGAGGAGGAGGAGGAGGAGGAGGAGGAGGAGGAGGAGGAGGAGGAGGAGGAGGAGGAGGAGGAGGAGGAGGAGGAGGAGGAGGAGGAGGGGAGGAGGAGGAGGAGGAGGAGGAGGAGGAGGAGGAGGAGGAGGAGGAGGAGGAGGAGGAGGAGGGGCCCTCTCGCCGAGGCTCTGGCCAGGCCTCCTCGGCGCGCCAGCTGGGCGCGGCTTGTGGCGGCCGGGCCAGCGGCTGCTGCAGCGTCCAGGACCGTGGCTGCACGGGCTGCGTTTGACCCTGAAGGCTGTCCTGCGTGGGGGCTGGGGCACGTGTGTAGGGCTTCCTGAGCGCCAGCGCAGGGCTTCCTGAGCACCAGATGCTCGTGCCGTGGCTTTCTGCGCATTGTTACTGTCGTGAAGTGCGAGCTCGACACCACCGGAGGCGGCGGCGTGCGCCAGCCTCATCCACAACTGTAAGAGCGCGCGGGGCCATCTCCCAACGAGGTATTCCGGTGGGGTCAGCCAGCTTTTTGCACAGGAAAACGTCGACGGTCATTCTGGCTCAAGCCCAGCATGCCGTGTTCGCACTGAGCCCTCAGCGGGCCTCGCAGGGCGGAACAATGGGCGTCGGCTGCTCCGGGTGCCTGGCTGGCCTCTGCGCCTCCGCCGATGAGCAGCAGCCGCGCAGCGGCCCCCGCGTCGTGGCGCTGCGGCCCAAGGCGGATCCCTCGCGGTGCCTGTGCGTGACGCAGAGCGGCCTGGGAAACGGCGGTTGGCTGCACGTGTGGCGGCAAGACGCGCCCGACGAGTACGGCCAGTGGCAGCTACACCAGGGTGTCCTTCGCTCGCAGGCGGACCCCGCCTACGTACTCTGCCTTATGAAGAGCGGCGTGAGAGACGGCGGGGGCTTGCACATGTGGCGGAAGGCGGAGGGCGAGGAGGTGAGTGACCCTTTCGCGAGGTGGCAGATCGAGGGCGGCGCGGTGAGGGCCTGGGTGGCGCCCAAGCTTCACCTGTGCGTGCAGCGCAGCGGGCTGTGCGACGGGGGCCACCTGCACGTCTGGTCCTTCGGCGACGAGGGGCCCGACGAGTACGGGCAGTGGCTGATCGAGGAGGTCGACGTCTGCGGCCCTGGCGCCCGCCTGGGCCCCTCCGCGAAGCTGCTGACGTCTGCGCTGGCCGCGCCTGCGCCGGGCCGCACCGCCGAGGCGGGCGGCGCGGCCGAGCCGCTGCGCAGGGCAGACCTGCTCGAGGGCCTGGAGGCCTTCGCCGCGGCTCTGGAGGCGCTCGCGAGCGGCACCGGCAGGCCGCTGCAGGAGAACGTGGGGAAGATGCGGAGGTCCAAGGCCCAACTGGAGGGAAGCGCGTGCCGAGATTTTTTTTTTCCTCGCCGCCTGCGGCCTTCGGGGGCCTCCCCTGGGCCTTCCATGGGCCGTCAACAAGGAGAGGCGGTGCAGGGTGAAGAGCTGGCCGGTCCTGGGGGAGCGCCGCGGGGTTCAGGACCCGATTCCCTCGGGACCCGCTTGCCTCGTGCCAAAAGGCGACGGAGCCAGACGCAGGCGACTACAGGGCCTGGCTCCTCAGCGAGGCGCCGGTGCACGCCGCCAGGGGGCACAGGGGCTACGTCGATGACTCCGCGTGGATGGCCAATCTCTGGACGGGCTGGATCCTGGAGTTCTTCGTCGAGATGCTGGCGCTGGTGCACGCGGGAGGCGAGGTGGCAGTGAGCTGCCAGTCAGCGTACGAGAGCACGCTGAGGGCCCACCACAACGCGCTCCAGAGGGCGGCGTTCGGGCACGCCATCAAGAAGCTGCCGGCGCGCCCGCGGCTGATGGCCTCGCTGGGCGGCGCCGACGACGTCGGCGCGTTCGTGGAGGCGGGGCGGCGCGTGTACCGGTGCTGCCTGGCGCTGGACAGGGAGCTCGCGGCGCTGCAGGCCGCCAGCAGGAGGTGAGCGCGCGCCCGGCTCGCCGGGCCCGCGCGCGGCGGCGGCACGACGGGCCGAGCCGGAGCCTGTGTGCGCGCAGCACGCTGCGGCCGCCAGAGCACTGGAGAAGCGTCACCTCCTGCGCTTCGTCGTAGCCGCCCTCCCTCCCTCCTCCCCGCT